GCGCGCTCAGCGTTCCTGGGTCAACACCATATTTTTGGCAATTTAAGAGTATACATGCTTTTCATTAGGTTTCAGCACGTTAATAGCAGCAAGCGCAGCGTCAATTAATTGCATTGTGGTTACGTTATAGGTGGTTGAAGTAGATAGAATAATTGGTGTTGGAGGACGTAATCCGGCGTTGGACCGTCCGGCACCTCTACAAGCGAGCGGCGCACCTCCACCAACTTTACGCACCTCTCTTCGTATACAGCTCTACTACAACTTAATAAAGTTTATATATGTCAAGGTAGTAGATTAAACACTATCTAAAGTATCTTTCTTACATGTACGCGAATTATGGCCAGTCTCTCTACACCTACTACACCGCGCCAGAGCCTGGCGGCTAACACCTGATCGCTCCCCTCCTTGACGCTCCTCATAAGCAATTTGCTCATCAGCCTCGCGTTGAGCAATTATATCCTCGCCGACTCCCTTTGTAAGAGCTCCACGCTTCTGTATCCGCTTCTTCTTACGTTTCCTACGCTCTGATACTGCTATATTAGCTCTCTCAAGGCTGGCTATCCGATCGCGCATTAGCTTAGCCGAGAGCATCGTTACCTTAGCCCCCTTCTTAAGCTGGTCAATTGCCGTAATAATTAAAGCTGGTGATGAACCTTGATGCCGCTGAACGCGATCACGTATTAGTGTCGACTGAGCTTCAAGCTCGCGTGTGTTGCTGGGCGTACGAGCCTGCCAGAGAGTCTCTGCTAGAACAGCTGGTGGAGTAGGCGTACGTAGCTGCACGTCAAGCCTTGATAGAACAGCATCTGGCTGGAGAGGAACAAGGCCTGCACCGCGGAAGGCAGAGCAGATATTGGCTGGCGTGAAGGATCGATCGAACGCTACCTTGAACGCTGGCAGAAACTCGAGCTTAGTGATGTGGTTGATATGGTGGCGGATTAGACTCTCTACCTCCCGGCTGTACGCACACTTTAATGGCGAGAAGCAGCCAACGTCAAGAGGCTGGAGTAGGTGAGATGAGTGCGGCGGCATACAGAGAGTATAGATATTATTCTCCTTGCAGAACTCTTGGAACTGAAGAGAGCGGTGGCTCTCATGGCCGTCAAGAATAAGCAGCCGGCGTACCCCAATAACCTTGCTATCTGTATGCTTAACAAAGTGTTTTAGCCACTTAACACCTAGGTCGTTGTTCGTCCAACCGTTGTCGCTAACTGCAATCGCCCAGTCGCGTGGGATCTCTACCTCCTCGTACCAGGCAGATAGGTGATGCTTGCCAGTAAAGATAAGAAATGGTGGGATAGCCTAGCTAGCTGCGTTGATCGCTGCGATCAGCGTCACCCACCCTCGATTACCTAGCTTAATAGCTTTTGGCCCGCCTCTTCTCTCTGACGCTATTACGACTAGCTGAGTCGTGATCTTGCCCATCATAAAGCCAGCTTCGTCGAAGTTGTAGACGTCCTCATCACAGATACCATACTTGGCCTTTGTCTGCTCTACAAGCTTAAACTAGCTCTTAATTAGGACTGGATCTTTGCATAAAGCCCTCTGTCTACCATAAGCTCGATTAAACCGCGTCGTAAGCCTATCTGTACGATTGACAAAGTTGCGCGGCTAATGGATGCCAACCTGGCCAGCGCCGCGTGTAGCTAATAGTCTATCAGCCATATTGCGCACAGCTGCGTAGGTAGGCGAGAATCCACGTAGATCAAGGTCAAGTATATAGTTAACATTCACCTCCTCTTCTAGCGTAGTAAGTTTCTTTGAGTTAGGCTGGCAATCGCGTCGGGCAGGCCTGCCAGCGCGTCGGCGGCGGAGCGTCGTCTCAGCTATATTGTAGAGTACTGCGGCATGCTTATTACTTTGGATCTGTTTGCTAGCTATAGAGGAGATAGCAAGCTGTACATCTGCTTCATTTGATACTATTTGAATAACGTTGCGTGGAGCCATGGCATAATAAGATGAGAGAGGTGTGCAAAGTTAGTGGGGTGCGCCGCTTGCTTATAAAACACGTTATAGTATCAAATAAGTAAGAAAGAAGGATTTTTTCTTAACATTTTTCTAATTCTTACGCCAACTCCCACTCCTACTCCTACTCTTACTCCAGCTTCTAGTCCTACTCTTACTCCAGCTTCTAGTCCTACTCTCACTCCCAGTTACACTCCTACTTCCAATCCCATTTCTAGTCACACTCCCACTCTTTATTAGTTCCGCGTCAAAAGGCATCCGCCAAAAACAGCCCGAGGATTAATAGGGCAGTTGATACACCCTCCAACATAGTGATTGCCGGTTATAATCGGCGCAATCAAATGCTCACACTTAAAAAACCCAATGCAAACACTGTTGAAGATTCCTCTTCCTATCTCTTCGCTAACCCTGAGATCGAGATTGGTATTGCAGACTAGCGTATTTTGCGCGCTTACTTGTCTCTTCTCCATTTTGTTGGCTTGAATCGCTTCTACACCACCTTCCGCTGTTGGTGCGCACAACGCTGGCACAATAGCCATAATAGCAAAAGCTGCGCTCTGGAACTTCACTGATACTTTTCGTTAGTATACTAATCAGAACTTTATATAATTGCGGCCCATACTAGTGACGAGTGTTGATAACGTTCGAATACGTAGATAGTACGAATACTGGTGGTATAGTGGAGATCTGTCGGAATCTGAATCTGAAAGCTGAAGTGATGGATAGATTTACCCAATACTTTTCCGTCTTCTTAAATAGTCCAGCAATGCTTCGCTCAGTGCTTTATTCATCTACTGTTGTAGTTAGTAAGCTCGTATACGTATGATCATTAGTCAGTATAATAAATTAGAATCTAATCTTGGCGTAAGCCTAAGAAGGCCCTTTACCTACCCTATATACGAAGGTTTATCGATAAGCTAGTTAACCTCTATTCATGTATTATGTTATACAGTAGTGTGTGACTACATCTACTATAGAACGTAAGCGATAGTGTTAGCTACTCTACAACGTGTCACGGGTAGCGAGTAGGTAGGAAGAGTAGGCACGAGTATAGGTTCTATTACTACAGACTAATTAGACAGACTCCCACTACAGGTAGTATACAATAGTAGATAGGACATAGCTCTAAGACTTATCTAGACTGCGTTGCGGCGGTTTTACAGAATCCGGGGGCTTGAGCTTACGCCCAGATTCTAGCTACGGCCAATTAGAACGGCCGCGCGCTAGCTACCTGAGCTAGTACCGTAGCTCTAGCACCGTAGCTCTAGCACCGTAGCTCTAGTACCGTAGTTCTAGTACTGTAGCTCTAGGAGCTGCCCTGTAGTTTCCAGCTTTCCGCACTCAACCCTCAGAATTCTAGAAACTGCCGGCCCGCTGCTATCTTAGCTGGCGCCGCGATATATAATACTAGCTAATAGTCTAAGAAACGTCTAGCCCTATATCTAGAAGTAAAGATATCCTAGATACTAGCAAATACTTCTACTTTCACCGCAAACCCTATATAGACTAATTAGACTAGTTAACTAGCGAAAATCTTAGTTACGTTTAGGCACAACGTAACTAGAATACTAAATCCTTCTTATTATTGTAAGACGTTAGCAGTGGATTTAGCACGGGTAGAGGAAAACAATAGGGGTAAGTGCCTAACGGTCTGTATTCCACGTGTAATGTGTTATGGGCGGAGAGGCCTAGCGAACGAGTATGCTTCTACCTATCGTACAGAAGCTAAAAGATAAGAAAAAGAGAAGATAACTAAGTACAGACTTCTCTTATACCTGCTCGCTTCTGATCACGTGTCCGTACAGAAGGTATATCACGTGGTCGAAGATCACGTGAT